TTCACTCAAATTCAGGAATATTTCTAAATAAGGAAGCTATTCTAAAGTTAAATTACAGCCATAGAACTTGTAAAAACATTCTCAGCATTCTATACTAAGATATTTACAATTTATTTGCTTTACTCCTTACTCTGCCATGTACTATAGGCTAAGCTGAGGCTAAGCATGAACTCTATGTTCAGTGCCTACCCCTCCCCCTCTTCTACAAAGAGCTCATGGATAATAAATTACTCAAGAGGATTAATAAGGATCATTTGCATAAAAAGAAAACTGCAATGCCGCATGCTCTAAACATTCTTATTGTATAATTATTTTTTTTCTTTTTTCTGTCCTTGATGTGTGTTAAACATATTTGGAGCTTTGTTGTTTGAAACACAGTCTCTCTATTTAGCCTAGATCTTTTATATTTAATTATAAATTTTAAAGTGATCAAGAGAAAAAGAAAAAACATAACTCTACTCTATATATTAAAGACTATGAAAGATACTTGAACTGTCAAATAACCCAGTCCTACCCATATTTACTGTATTTCAAAAATGCAATTACTTATTTTTTTAACTTTTACATTGTATTTACCATCTCTCCTCTACCTCTCTCTCTCTCTCTCTCTCTCTCTCTCTCTCTCTCTCTCTCTCTCGTGTGTGTGTGTGTGTGTGTGTGTGTGTGTGTGTGTGTGTGTGTGTGTGTCTGTCTGTCTGTCTGTCTGTCTGTCTGTCTGTGTCTGTGTCTGTGTCTGTGTCTGTGTGTGTAGGTAAGAGGACAACTCAAGAAAGTGGATTCTATCCCTTAACCATGTGGGCTCCAGAAATTACACTCAGGTAAATAAGGATTGGCAGCAAGTATGTTTACCCAATGGGTCACTAGTCTGCCCCACCCCTTTTTAAGACACCCTTATAGAGTCCTTTAATTTTTATGTAGCCAAGACTGGCCTTGAACTTACCATCTTCCTGCTTCCATCTCCCAAGTGCTAGGAATACAGGTATGAATCACCATGTCTTCTTTTTTCCCGTTTTTTTTTTTTTTTTTTTTTAATCGAAGCAAAATTTAGCGCACATGTAACTATAAAAGTGACATCCAACCAGCAGGACATTCAGATTAAGGAACATTACTGGTATACCAGAAGTCACCCTCACAACCTCTACAGCACTGATTCATGTTCCTCAAGGATAGCTTCATGAAATTTTAAAATGTAACAGTGGTTTCACTGTTCAGCCACTTAAAAAAGTATTTAACGTATATGAGTGTTTTTCCCTGCATATATGTCTGTGCACCATGTAGATGCCTAGTAAACATGAAAGTTTAAAAAGGGCATTGAATTCCCTGGAACTGCAGTTACAGATGATTGTAAACCACCATGTGGGCACTGGAAATTGAACCTGAGTCCTCTAGAAGACCAGCCAGTGCTCTCAACCACTGCTAAACCATCTCCCCAGACTGGTCTGGATACTTTCTCTTTTTTTTTTTTTGGTTTTTCGAGACAGGGTTTCTCTGTGTAGCTTTGGAGCCTTTCCTGGCCCTCCCTCTGGAAACCAAGCTGGCCTCGAACTCACAGAGATCTTCCTGCCTCTGCCTCCCGAGTGCTGGGATTAAAGGCGTGTGCCACCAAAGTACCCAGCAGTCTGGATACTTTCTATAAATGTCATTACAACATCACCCCTTCCACAATGTATAGCAGGTATAACATGTAGCTCCAATAGGCTCTATGCTAACTGTACTCCTCTGTTGATGGACATCTGGGTCTGTTGGTGTACTCCTCTGTTGATGGACCTTGTGGATATTACAAACAAGCCAAGCAAAGCAGAATGTGCATTCAGCAGTACCTGGAATTTTAGATAACTGGGCCTATCAAAGGCTGTACTTTTCCAAAGACTATCTGCTCATTTGTTCACATGCAGGTCACTGTTGAAAGCCACCCTTTCCTTATGACTTCTAAGCCCTTGTTAGTGTCACAGCTCAATAACACCCGAGGACTGGTCACAAAGGAGTGTGCTGCTTATTTTAGAACTAAATATGCTGCAAGTTCTAGAAAAGCAGAGGGGTGAGGTCACACAATCTCCAGCCCAGGGAATACATTAAGGATGTTATGAACAAATATGCTAATGTCTGGACAGGTGAATGAAAAGCTATGCTGACCACTTTACAACTTACCTCTGTTTCTTTCATTAACAAGTTCAGTTCAGAAATTTGACTCTTCACTTGGCTTTCCTTACTAATAAGGAAATCAATGTCCTTTGAAAGCTTCTCCTGTGGAAACACACAGAATGCAAGTACAAAAACAAATCAACAAAGACTTTATGCAGTTTGCAAATTACACAGTACCCATCCTTCCTGATGAAGAGACAGCAAAATCAGCTATAGTAATTAACTCAAGATAAATATTTACTGGCCTGAAGTGCATAGGTTCGTGGTCATATGAAAGATTAAATGAAGGCTGGGAAAAAAGAGTAAGTGGTACTCAGTCAAAAATTCCAAATGCTCAAGTAGTACATTTTTGTTGTTTAATTATCACTCTCAGAAGCCTTGCTTCTAAGGCTTCTAAGCAAATTGAAGGTTGGCAGGTTATAGCCTTCCATTACATTTCACAATTTAGACACACACACACACAGCAGGAGAAACACCAAGGACAAGTCCAAAATAATCCCAGCTCATCCCAGCCTCGAAATTGATTCACTCACCGTATATGAGTGAAAACATGGATTTTTGAGTAATTTGTTTGTAAATTAGCTATTCTGAACACTATAATTCCCCATAGAAATTACATTGTAGGGTTTGGTAAAATCTCTAGTTTGGTCTAAAAAGCATTCTGCAATAAGTCTGAAGTACATTTTTCAAGCCACTTCGGAGCACTATGGACTACCCAGTCACAATGTATTAAGAGTCTAAATGAAAAAAGAGAACACCCAGGAAACACCTCCCAGGCAGAGGTGAAGGGATGCCCAGGATGAGAGCACTCCAGGATTTTGCTTACTGCTGAACACCTGAAATGCAAAGCATGGGCAGGAAGACAGAACAACAGCTTGGTGTTTGAGGATTCAGGAAGTAAGTCTTCCATCTATTCCATCTTCCTCTTTTTTTTTTTTTTAACCTTATACTACATGAGGCGGAAAGAGGATGTGTGCAGAAATAGACATGATTGGCTCTGCAGAAAAAAAATCTCAGTCTCAGAAGGCCCCTGGGAGGGCTCACTGGGGAAAAAAAAAAAAAAAAGGAAGTGGCTAACAGGAAAGGAACATGATTTCTGGACGCACAAGACAGACTGGGCTGGATATCTAGCTCAGGGGTAGAGCACTTGCCAGGCATGTATGTACAAGGCCCTGGACTCAATCCCCACCACCTTCATCAATTGATGAATCAGTCCATTAAAAACAAGAGCTGGATGTGGTTATACAAGTCTGGAATCCTAGCACTTGGGAGGTAGAGGTGAGAGGGTCAGGAACAAGGCTCAGACTCCAGTAAATCCTGGAGTAATAAAGGTTAAATGTGAGAGTCAAGGCTCCAGCCTTCAAGGAGTTCACATAACAGGGCAAGAAATTTTTTTAAAAATCAGGCCTTGAGTGCTCTAGAAACTCATCAGACGCCAGCTTCTTAAAGATTCAAAAATTCTGTAGTTCCAAAACAGTGGTGTGCAGACAAATGACCTCCTCCCGGTGAACACCTTATGATAGACATTGGTGATAAGAACTCACCAATCTTGTTGACACCTATGACAGACCCTGCCGAAGATTCTTTAGATGGTTTTCTTGCCTGTTCTCTTCCTCTAAGGCCAAATTGCACCCACTGTTTCTCTAACTGTGCTCTCATTTGGAATTATAGGACTACTAATGGTCTCCCTCTTTACATGTTACAGATACAACTCATACGACAAGCTCCAAAGATACACACCGTCACCAAATGGCTGTCTTATGTACTAGATCATCATCATCTGTTCAGTTTTATCATGGCCCCTTAGATAGACCCTCCTTTGGCATGTCTGATGTCCAACTGATGTCCACCCTTCTATTTTCCACCCTTTGTCAGCTCAAAGAAGCTAGAAGTAGTTTTGCTCCCAAATCCCTAACAGCAGTTAGGGTGACATCTGAGAGGTTGGAGGAAAGACTAGGAATTAGAAAGACTTCCTAGCAGGTGGGCAGACATAGAGAAGGACCATGGCTAATTAATGAAGCTGGCAAATGTCCAAGATGACCAGCCTCTTCCTCAACCTGCTGACTTAAGACAAAAGCTTGGCAGCTTTGCTTCCCACCACTTTCGGACATGCTCAAGGAGTTCAAGACTGGATCAGTCACACACCATAGTTGCTGATCAATCCTATCTGTCTTCAAACTAACCAACCCTAAAGTCAGAAGGTAAACACTTCAGAGGCTTTTATCAAAGCCCAGCCCTTAAGAAAAGTGGACTTCCCAACTTCCCCCTCTCTGCTTTGAAGAAGGGATTTTTCTTTGTGTGCCTGCTGCATGCATGTGTTTGTTTGCTCACAATAATTGCTCTTTTTGTTGTTTGGTTTGGTTTTGGTTTTGAAGACATGGTTTCTCTATGTATGTAGCCCTGGCTGTCCTGGAACTCACTCTGTAGACAAGGCTGGCCTTAAACTTGGAGATTCACCTGCCTCTACCTCCCAAGTACTGGGATTATAAAACAGTGGTATGAATCTGAGTCTCCTAAGGGCTTGCTGGGTAACAAATTCCTCCAAATTTCAACATTCTTTGTCCATCACAAATGGGGACTCCTTAAGGCTCATGAAGTAGACCAATCTCACAAGTCCCAGAAGGTTCCTGAAACTTACAAAATTAACCAGGCCACTCTCCCCAAAGTTACATAAGCCTTAACTCTCCCACCAGCCAAGATGCCTACAATCCCAACAGGGGGTCAGGGATACAGCTGGGCTCTTCAGTGATGCAGCTGCCTGAGAGCCACTTGTGCTTCCATAAGTAACCACAATAATTTCATTAATTTGACAAGTTGGTCTTAGCTAGAACTGTGGCAAGAAGATGCTTGCTCACATCTCCCCAAGAAAAGCCACACAACTAAGTAGGACAAGGCCAGCCTCTGTACCTGTACCAAAGGTCCTGTGAGAGGCAAATACCAAGCCAAGTTTTGAGAACCATTTTCCCTCTAATATCATATCCCCAATAAAAGGTACCAAAGAAACACCAGTAAACAAAACAATGGAAAAGTCATTCAACAACAGTGCCAAAGTATCTTTCATGCAAGCAGTATAGGAGAATAATATATAACTAGCATGGCCCCTGTACTCAGTATGTACAAGTTTAAAGGTGATATCAGCTTTGCTTCTTCTCTTGAGACGTTCAGAATAAGATCTTGGAAGAACAAATATATGATACTTTCTGTGCAAGTGTGCTACTTGAAAAAGAATTCACAATGATACATATTCAAGCTACTGTCTTAATTTATTTTCGACTTGATGTGATAAAATAACAAAAAGACAACACTTAAGAGAAGAAAGATTTATTTTGCTTTAGTTTGAGAGCACACAAGTTTATCTCAGCAGACAAGGGCACAGTAGCCAGAAAAGTCAGATCCTTCAGGGGCTGTGGCAGCAGGAGCCTGACACAGCCATTGTACACTGTGTTGATGGACATTAAGTAAAGAGCTCTGCTAGAACCCACACGGGCTATAACTATTAGGCCCACACTTCCTCTTGCTCAGCCTCATCATCTCCTAAAGGTTCCACAACTTTCTAGACAGGAGAATAAATGTTCAAACACATGAGCCTGGTAGGGACATTTTACAATCAAGCCATAAACACCACCGTGTTGGGAAAGACATACACTGCCAACACTTAAAATAACAACAAGTACTAACCTACATCAGCGTTATGACAACAATGTTCACCACAAAGTACTGCCACAAAGGCATAAGCTGTATCCCCCACTCCCTAAAATACAAATGCTATCCCAAGTACTTCCCTATGCAGTGGGAAAAGCTTACAGTGATGTTTGCTTTTCCTAATTCTCTGAGTTCTCCAATTCAAACAAGACTTCCTTGGAAATCTATGGAGATGATACATGGGAAACTATCAAAAATTCCTCAGGAAACATCCTTCAGTGACATGCTTGCAAACTTCTATAGCCATGTTCGTAGAGAGAACAAGCTAAAAGAGTAAGTCACATCAAAAGCTTAGTAAGAAAACTGTACAGTGAGGCAAGAAGCTGAGAGAGCTCTAGAAAGGACTTGACTTCCCAACAATGGAGAGGCTTGCTGACTGAGGAGACAGGCAGTAAACATGTGTCTTTTCAGGACACATGAGAATCAAAAAGCCTTGTGGGCCAAAATGGTGACAGGAAACAGTGAATAGGACTTCCTGTGGACTCTCTCAGTCTGCATTCTGGAAGACTAGGAGCAGGCAGCTATAGCCTGCTGTGGGGAAGAGGGGCTCTACTTTGAGCTCATGCACATGTCTATGTCAACATTAGTGGAAGACAGCAAGTCACAGGAGGGAAAATATCCTAGCCTCAGCTAACAAAAGTGCTAAGAGTGGATCATCCTCAGAACCAGGTATTATTAACTGGTTAAGCCAGTTTCTTTAAAAGTGCAAGCTGTTTCCGGAATTTAGAACACACCTTTACAAACAACCTGATACACACTATAATGCAGATAAGAAACCTGGTGTTTACCTCAGCAGATTCAGCAAACAGTAGACGAAAGACAAGTGCAAGGTTACCCTTCTATGATGCTCATTTCTCTAATTGCAACACCCAAGTGGCCAAAAATAAGAAATGATAGTGTGTCTTTGCATCGTTGTGGCCAGTCCCCTTCAGCTTAAATCTAAAACCAAGTGTAAAGGAGATGTGTTACTTTTAGCAAATGACAAATCTAGACAATTTGTTTCTTACTAAAAAGTAAGCAAACTGGAAGTATATTATGGAATATCTTCCCAAAAGTCTGAAATATGTAAGAAAGAAATTAATATACAATGTAAAAGATTATAATATATATATATTTCATCCAGTTTCCTGACAATATCTCCCAAAACTCCTTGGTTTCTACAATGATAGGATATATACCTATACATATATATATGCTAATGAGTCAGGAGGCAGCTGGCTTCAGGGTGAGAACTGCTCACCAAGAAAGAAGGCAAAGGCCAACAGCTAAGATTCAGTCCTACCTCACAACCTCCAAGGACAGGAAGACACAAAGTGGAAGTGACCATCAACTGTCAATGACTTAATCAACCATGTCTATCTATGAGGCTTCCATAAAAACTCATAGAGGATAGGCTCCAAAGCTACATGGAGAAACCCTGCCTCGAAAAACCAAAAAAAAAAAAAAAAAAAAAAAAATATTGCTCCTGGAAGTTTTTTTCCTCAGGTATCTTGTTACAGAGATAAAAGAATATGAGGGTTCAGAACTTCCATACGGAGTGCACCAGCCAAGGGCGTGGCAGCTCATGCCCTTCTCACATTCCTCACCCTGTGCAGCTCCATCAACACCTGTTGTCATATCTGATATGATAAATTGCCTGAGTTCTGTGAGTGCCTCAAACAAAATAATTAGACCCAAGAAGGGTGAGTTAAACTTTTTACAGTCATGTGATCAAAGGCAAAACAAACCAAACAAAAAACCCACATGGACTTTGCAGCTAGCATACACAGTGGGGCAGAGGCAGGGCAGTCCTGGGGACTGGCCCTTCATCTATAGGGCCTGGCAGCACATCTTACAGTATCGGAACAAAACTGAATTAGAGGATCCCCAGCCAGCATCTACTGCTACAGAATCCACTGCTTGCTTGCTGATGTCATGTGCGGCCATAGATGTCTTCTGCCCAGGTGTGGTGATGCACACCTGTAAAGGATCCCTTGGGAAACAGAGGCAGGAGTATCACGGCAAATTTAAACCCAGCCTGGTTTACATGGCAGGACCCTGTCTCAAACAAACCAACCAACAATTCTGCATTGATTGTTGTGGGTTTTGAGAGCAGAGGAGAAGTATGGATTCATGGATAGTTTTTCCAACACAGTAGTTCTACTCTAGTGTCAAAGAGAGTACAAGTAATAAAAACTGGAACGGATTGCACGAAATTAAACCAATTAGAAATCAAAACTTTTACAAATGTGATATATTATTATTGTGCCATGTGAAGCTGACCGACTGAGTACACAGGCATGATCAAGTGACAAAAACGGATTTGGCTTCCCACTTGAAGCAACGGAACACACCATCTGGAATCTCTCTTGTTATGCATCAGATCTCAAGAGACATTTCCTGGACGATGGGAAACAAGAGAAGCCTGACTATCCTAGCCTGTTGTCTGCAGTTTCTAAGACTGGAGGCAGAGAGCTCAAATGGACCCCAGTGTCTCCCATGGAACAAGTAATGGAGCTAGGAGTTAAGGAAGCCGGGGTTTCTAAAGCCTAAAACCACAGAGACAAGCAGAAAAGGAAAGGCATGCAGAGAGGTGTGCATGAACACCAGCCAACCATGCCTGAGGTCAGCAAAGTTCCATAAAAGGTTAAAGTTCACACAAGCTGGTGTTATGAGCTCCCCACCATCCAGACCGCCACCCCCCAAACCAAAAGCTTCTAAATTATCGGGGATGGAGAAGAATCATCAAAGGTTTTCACCTCTAAAGTCAGCCTGTTTAACCTAAAACAGACAAAGCTGAAAACAGGTCATAACTAATAATACTTGAGAGCCGATCAAAAATTTCCAGCTGGCTAGCTTTCTGTCAACTTGGCACAAGCTAGAGTCACCTAGGAGGAGGGAACCTCAGTTAGGAAAATGCCCACCAGCTTGGACTGTGGGGAAGTGTCTGTGGGGCATTTTCTTGATTAATGATTGATGGGGGGTGGGGCAGCACACTACTGTGGGTGGTGCCCAGCCTTGGGCAGGCGGGGCTGGTGGGCAAAGAAAACAGGCTGGTCAGTAAGCAGTGTTCCTCCATGGCCTATGCTCCGGCTCCTGCCTCCAGGTTCCTCAGCTTCTTGAGTTCCTGACCCCTTCAGAGATGGACTGTTGATCTAGAAGTACATGGTGAAACAAACCCTTTCTTCCCCAAGTTGCTTTTGGCCATGGTGTGTTTACCACAGCAATAGAAACCCTAACTAAGACACCAGGCAAGCAAAGAAGCAGAGAAACAGAAGGTACAATGGCCAAGCCTGTCCGTGACACTATTTATGTATGCGGCCACATACATAAGATAATCTTGCACACATACTACCAAAGAAAGGGAACAATTAAAATAAAAGGGAATCGTAAGGTAATTAAGCTGAATTAACTCCTTTAAAACTACTGTTTACAGCAAGAAAGAAATGAAATAAGAAAGCACCACAGCACTGCCTACCTACCCAGTGATTATCAAATCTGAGAATTTTCTGAAGCCTTCTACCTCTGCTCCCAGAGCAATAGTGAACACTAAACTCTCTTGAGGACAATAACAGTCTCTCTCACTCCTTTCCCCCTCACACTTCAAAACTAGCTATGCAAGGCTTTAAACCCAGACTCAGGAAAAAGAGCAATTTTAAGTTAAAAATTCCAAAAATAAATTGTAATTACTTTAAATATAGCTAATTTTATAATTATTATATAATTGTATTTATTTATATAATTCATATATTTTATTATGTAATAATTTACTATGGATAACACATATATTGTATATGAAAATATATTTTATATAATGTATATTTAAATAATTTGTTTTATAAATATATATTTTATATATTTTTTAGTAATTACATATTAAGTTCTACCTCATAATTCCTTTCAGTAAAAGACATTACAAAAACTTAAGAATCATGAAATTACAGGTATCAAAACCTACTTCCAGGGCTAGAGAGATGGCTCAGCAGCTAAGAGCACTGTCTGCTCTTCCAAAAGACCTGGGTTTGATTCCCAGCACCCATAGTGAGGGTGACAAAGCTCTAACTCCAGACCTGGGGATCCAATGCCCTCTCCTGACCCTCTGCAGGCATTACACACACACATTGCACAAACATACTTTCAGGTAAAACATCCATAAATATTAGATAAAATGAAAAACAAATGTAAATCCACTTCTGAAATATTAAGTCCTACCTTTAAGCTTTTGTAGGCACTGCTCATGGTGGTCACCCGGTGATTGGAATGATTCCCACCCAACTTACAGAGGTGGCAGACAGGCCTTCTGCACAGTTCACAGTACATGTTTATTCTCTCTGTCTCATGTTCTGGGCACATTAAAACCTGTTGAATAAAAACATACAGTTAAAAATCTAGGTTTCAAGTAGCCTAGGTCCCCCAACACAAATATTTGCTATATGAAATAAAGAGCTATGTAGGTGAATAAAAGGATAAAAATAAAAATATGTCACATGAAAACTCTAGAATTACCATTTTCAAATCTGAGGGTTCAAACCATTAACACACAGACATTATTTCCCCTAAACTTGGTGAGAAAAATGTTCATTCCTACAGGCCTCAAGTAGAGAGAATGCTTAAACAAGCTAGAGAAACATACCACACACATTAGGCAACTTCTGAGTGCCTCTGTAAGCTATCAGAGAACCTCAGGAGAATCTATGGCCTGACTCTTCATTCAAGCCTGTTGCTAAGAGGGCTCTGGAGGGCTTTGTGATGTAAGTGCCCACCTGGCAGGCCAGCTCCACAAGCCATACATTCACTGCCCAGCAGCATCTCCTGAGGAAACCTCATTTGTGCTTACTCGATGAACTCATAGATGCATTTGAAATTGTACATAAAATACTGTTTCCACTCAGAAGCAAGTGTTCAGATAGTATGTTGATGAGACTGGATACTAGGCAGTGTCAAATGATCTGTCATATTAAGAAAAGAAAGACCAATGTGCAAAGTCCTTCGACCAATATTGTTACAGGGAGGGGCAAAAGTGGAAAAACTTCATTCAATGTTTCAGAATGTTCGAGTTCCTAATTCTCCTAAGAATATTTATCTTTTAAAGGAGGAAAATGTAAGCTTCCAGTAGGAAGATGTACAGTGAGTTCAGCTGCAGGTGAATATTTAGCATCTCTGAAGAGTTACACTATCTTAGCTGACATAAATAGCTTGAAGGGAGCTATTTTTCCTAATATAGCTTATTCATATTCCTTTGGTTTACTTGCCAGTATTTTATAGTTGCAAATAAAAAACTTATGGCTAATTTGCATTCCAAATTCTACAAAATACTTAACTTGTAAAAACCTAGCCCTAGTGTAGCTCATTAGCATGTGGCCTTTCATGATAGAATCATATCAATGCAATCTTCTAAACAAAACACTAAAACTTCTGAAGTCTCTCTTTTTAAAATCAATGCCCTTGAGAATTTAGGGTAACACAATCATCATAACAGGGAATTCAAAGGTTGATAGATCAGTTATGAGACTAATGGTTTTGAGAAAGGGGTCTTTCAGAATGTGGGGACAAAGAAATATCTTTGTTTTAATCTTTCAGACCTGCATTATGGAAGGAATGTTCCATATTTTGTAATGATCTTTTTAAGATTTCAATGATTATTTTAAATTACTTGTATGCCTGTGTTGGTATTAGGTATGTAAACATTAGTGTTCACATTAGGAGGACAGAAGCGAGAATTGGATTCCTTGGACCTGCAACTACAGCTGGCTGGCTATGAGCAACCCCATGTGGGTGGTGAGAACCAAACTCGGGTCATCCGTTAATAGTAGCAGGCAATCTTAACCACTGAGCCATCTCTGAAATTATTAAAAATTAAAGGCTTTATGATTGAAATACTATTATATTTTCATATTCATACCAGTTACTACATTATAAAGAACAGCTTTATGCCAGACAGTGGTGGTGCACACCTTTAATCCCAGCTCTTGGGAGGCAGCAGGTGAATCTCTGAGTTTGAAGGCAGCCTAGTCTATAGAGAGAGTTCCAGAACAGCCAAGACTACACAGAGAAACCCTGTCTTGAAAAACTAAAAAAAAAAAGAAAAAAAAAAAAAAGAATGGGTACAATAACAAAAACTTTAAAAGCATCCATGTTGGGAGGTAGTGGTGCAGGAATCGTTGTACTCATCAAGGATCATAGAACATGAACTTCTTGCGGGATTTATTAAACAAATAGCCCAGAACACTTAAGAAATGTAAAGTCCACCTAACAGATTACATAAGCACTCTATCCCAAACTTTAAAGTATTAGGCTGTAATTATTCTTTACTTACCATAAAGATGCAGCTAACTAAAATATCACAATGGGGTTATCCAATCAAATTTTCCTGTCTCTAGATTCCTGGCAATTTCTCCCATGATATTCGGTACCCTAACTTACCTTGGGTCTGAAATTGGTGGTGGGACCCACATACTCATGCTGGGCTTTTACAGTACCCCAAGGATGATAGATTTTGAAGCATTCATTGCAGAAGCTTGCACTACAGTCCATGCAGCTCTTGGTAGATTCCTGGGGTGGTGGTTTACAAAGGTCACACATAATGGCTGTGGCTGCCCTAGCAGCCTGTCGGTATCTCTCAACGATTGTTTCCAAAGTGAAATTTCGAAACAGACCGCTGACTCCTCGCTCTCCAAGATCCACATCATGCTCACAGCCAGGACAAGGAAACATAGTTGGTCTTGGGGTCAGTGAATTACGCTTCCAGCCTGTGTATTTAGCAAGGCTTCATTTAGTTACAGCATAAGTGATAAAAAGGAAGAGACATGTTTTAGAAAATCTCTACAACTATTTCAAGTGCCTCCATCTGCGTTCTGAAAATGCTTTTCTAAACAAATATTTTTACTTGGTGCATGAAAGACAAAGTTCAAATTATTAAAAGTTATCATCAAGAAAAACAAAAATAATCCATAATAAATTGTACATAAAACTTTATTAAGCTAAACACAGACTTGATAGAGTACTTTTACTTTATAGAATATTTTATACAATTATGACTTCTAGTTAATTTTATACATCAGACTCAGAGTCATAAAGTGGATACCATCTTAGCTGACTGGGAAGAAATGGGGTACATGAAAGAGCAAAGGCCCTTAACGAGGGCCTATGACTCAGCATGCTCATTGCAATCCCAATGACTAATTGAAACTGCAAAATTATCCACATGCACACACTTGTGTATTTCTGGTGAGTTTGTACTTTCAACACATACTCAAAGGAATAAGGTGGTCATGAGTTTTAAGAACCATCACAATAGGATCTTTCCCACTGTAGCATTGTTTTATCTGGGAAAGTTCAGTGGGAAAGGCCAGAAGGTAACTGAATGTAATCCAAAGAGTGAAGACCTCATTCATAGACCTAGAATTTAGTAACTTTAAGAGGGACCAACATGGGACCTGAAACAAAGAATCGTTAAAGTTACTTAATTCAGTACCAACATGCATTACATATGATTTTGTAATAAATGACCTTAAACATTAGGTTTTTTTGTTCAGTGTTGTCAAGAAACCAAAATGTGGCAGACCTTACCTTCTGATTCATAGAAATGCAAAGCTGTCTGCTTAACACAGGTGGATGAATACTCACTTAAACTTTTCTTAGGTATGAAATCTCAGTTGCCCACAAAATAGCTTCCATAATACACAAAGGAACTTCTTAATCTCCAGCCTTCTTTCATATTACCATATTCAATGCCAAAAATTTGATGGTTAAGTTCGGTATATTCTATTTAGCAAAGGTCTTCATGTAGCTACATTAATATTGCCCTTGAAATGACTGTCATTTAAAAGGAATACCTTAAAAGATGCTTTGTGTGACATCACATAAGGGAAACTTAACAGGTAGCCCAAAGTATCCTTTATAAACATGGCTTTATGGCATGCAATGTGTCCCTGAACTCCAAAAGCACACAATGTAACAAGCATGCACAGTATCTTTAATATTTCCATGTAATGACATGTTAGCCTTAACATTTTAAAACATGAATCACATAAAAGGAAACTTCCAACAAAGTTGAAAATCCTACTCAATATATTCCTGCTGCAGTAATTTTTAAAACATGCAATACAGTCCAGGGTGTTTCACACCACAGCAGGCATGTAATGAAATAAGCGCAAGGCTAATTAAAAAACAAAACAACAAAACAAAGCACACACATGCCAATGAAAATGTTTTTGGAAAAAAAAAAGCCAAACAATTCTGGAAGGGAAATGATGCAGTGGTCAAGTTTAAAAAAATGGAAATTCACATATAATTACATTCTTCTACATGTTAACTAGATGCCGGACATTTAAATGAATGAATAACCAGTCTCAGTGGTCCATGTGAAAAACAATGACCTATCTATCATAGGCTTTTGTGAAGGTTGTGGCCAATTAAGTAGCAATATGAAATAAAATTAATCATGAAAAAGAAATCATGCTTTAGCATGTATGCTGGTGACACCCAAATTTTGGTGGTTTTCATGTTTAGGAATGTCAAAAAAAAAAAAAAGTCCCCTTTACTGCATTCTTCTGCTATCTTAATTTTATGGTGAAAATAAAATTTTTAGGAAACATCACACTTGAGAATTTGAACTATGGCTATTACAACCAAAACAGTGAAACTTTAATTATCTTAAATTTCAACAGCCATTTGACCTGGTGGCCCTTTATATAGAATAGCTATTGAAAGTTGACTTTATTACATTTTCCTTTTAGTCTAGTGTTGAGCTTTTTTTTCCCATGAGGTTTACATTCCAGGATATATATCCTTAGGTCTGTCATTCTTTGTTTATCTGAATATAATATTTTATTAAAATAAAGCTAAAAGCACATGACAGATAAAATGAAAGTTAGCACTCAAAGATATTTGAGAGACTCATGGGATCAGTTTAAAAAAAAAAAAACAGTCAAGATACCTATTTGAAAAAGTTCCCTGAAAATTACTCAGGTCTTAAATTCAACATTTAATCTCAAGAGAATCAGCTCAAGTACATTCCAAACTGTTGAAATTGTACCCTCTCCCATATTGTGGTTGTAACAATTAAGGTACAATTAAGGCAGGTTCTTATTGCCTGCCCCATTTGTGGGATGCCACTAGTTGGACTTCACAGATAGTGAGGGGAACAAAAAAGGGTTAACATTTCTCTAACCACAGAGTATCACCAGAATTTGACCAAAAAGTAGTCAATTTTACCTAAAATGTCAACTGAAGTGGGAAAAAAAAGGTAGGCTGAAATGTTTCACGCATATTCCAAAAGCCTAAAAAGCTATATGTACATGACCCACAAATGGGTAGGAGCTCCACGTTAAAACACTGACAGGACAAAAACACGGACAACAAAGAAAAGACATTATATGCATAAAACATGCAGAGAATATAACTACAAAAATTGACAACTTTAGACAAAAATTTGAATATTTATTTAACCTTACAAATGTATCGTATTAAGTTACATTACAGTCTACATAAATGTAAAAAGATTTTTTTAGGTACCAGATACTAAAAAACAAAATTGTGTTGTGTATATATACAGGAATAATTTTGACACACATCCCTTAAAAACATCAGAACTTTCATCCTGATGACCTTGAAGTCATGTAAATACAATTTGTTTACTTTCCATATAAATTTGAAGACTTGACCACTGGTGTTAGAGAAACTCTAGATACATAAGAAAAGGTAAATCTAACACCACACTGCCTGCGGCCACAAAAGCAATCAAGCACTTTTTCTACCTCTCCACCCCAAAGATCTCCGTTGTGGTGCTGTGAAGAATGAACAGAAAGCTGGATTTAGAATTCCATTTCAAAGAGAATACTCACAACTTGTTAAGAAAAGATAAAGCACTGACTATGTCCTGCACAGAATGCAGTTATTGAATCAACAGTAAATATGTGGTTTTTCTGACACACAGGGTGTTTACAAAGCAGCAACATAAAACAATAAATCATATGGAATTCAGCTGCACCATTGTTGGCCAGCACTGGGGAGACATATACTTTGTCCTGGATTTCTGTTTTTAAACAACTTCATCTCTGGCCACCATTATAAAAACAAAGTGCATTCAAGTATCCTTTGACTTTTTACTGAAATAAAAAAACTAAGTTATCAAAAGATTATTGAAATTCAGTATCTCTGATAACAGGAAAACACAAATTGGAGGAAAAGAGTACACACATATGACTAGAAATACACAAGACAGCTTTTCTGTTTACACAACTGAATATATAATTGACATATACACAAACACCTTATTCTTTTAAAGTACCCTTTCATTAAAAAATCTATTAAATGTATAAGGCAATATTATCCCAATGAAATAAATGAGCCACAGCACAATGTATTTTTAAATTTTCTAGTAGCTACAGTAAAAGTTGAGAAACAAGTAAAATTAGTAATGATATTAACCCACTATATCTAAAATATCACCTCAAATATAATAAGTATAAAAAGCATTAAATCTAAACCTGTGCTATTCTAGTAAGCATTTCATATTTACAATACATCAATAGGAAAACTCTTATTTCAAGTGTCTATTATACTGGAGAGCCTAGGGTCTAATCCTTTAGTGAAAAACCAAAGGTAAAGAGTAATTTTTAGTGAATCAAATTTTAGTGATGACAAATTTAAGGACCACCTTCTAGATGGTCACTAGTTTTAAACACACAGGTGTCATTGTATTGCAGATATAATGATACCTTTAATTTGTGGGCAAAAATGATAAGACATACTTAAAAAGGAAGTCAGAAACCCTGCTCATAACAATGGATATGGAAGGAAAATGTGCAAACTATCTTCTAAATAGTGACTGGCATTCAAAGAAAAGTGCATAACCCGGTAGTTAAGAGTACTTCTTGTTCTTGCAGAAGACCCAGATTCGATTCCCAGCATCCACATAGCAGTTTAAAACCATCTGTAACTCTAGTCCTAGAGAATGCAACACTCTTTTCAGACCTCTTCTGACACCAGGCACACATGTGCACAGATAACATGTAGGCAAAACACATGTGGTACACATACATAACCTGCAGGAAAAATACTCTTACATATAAAATAAAGAGAGAGTACTCTTACATATATAAGAGAGAGAGAGAGAGAGAGAGAGAGAGAGAGAGAGAGAGAGAGAGAATGTGTGTGTGTGTATAAAACATATAACTCATGAAGTACTCTTATTTACTTCCATTGCATCATAAGTCAGGCCACAAAAAGATAACACTTTTAACTGCAGCTTGGAAAGATGCTTTTCTGAGAAAATCACAAGATTAAAAAGTGACCCCTGTCCTGTCAGTGGGAAAAGCTGAGGAGAATAGACAAAAGGTTTAAAGAGGAAACCTCAATGCCCAAACTGCCTAGAGTGGAAGCTCTGATGCCTGGAACTTCTGGGCACTCATACACACTTCTTAGTATAAAGGCCATTCTTAACACAAGGTTGTGGTCACCACAGATTTTAAAAGAATTTCAGCAGCTTCGGTAATTTAACTTTGATCTACATCATCCCTGCAATAACTGTTCAGAGGCAACACTATCTTGATAAGAAACAAGATAAATGTTGAGCTATGATACAGGTACAAAATACATGCTAGGTGTCATTAGATCTTCCATTCATTACTGCAGAATTCTAGCACTCATGAGAATCAAGACCCTTATATTTTGGGGGGTGGGCAGGCTCCCATGCATCCCAGAGTGTACTTGACACCATAGATCCTCCTCCCTCCAACCCCCATGGGCTGGTATACAGGCATGACCACCATGCCCTACCAAAACATTTATTTTTAAAAAAGAATTTCAAGTGGTTGAAGAAAATAAAATTCACAGGTAGAATAGTATCACATGATTTGATCTGGTCTAAAAGTTCTCTAAGGGCTAGAGAGATGGCTCAGCAGTTAAGAGCACTGACTGTTCTTCCAGAGGACCTGGGTTTGATTCCCAGCACCCACATGATGGTTCCCAACCAACTATAACTCCAGACCCAGGGGATCTGATACCATCTTCTGGCTTCAGCAGATACTGCAGCCACATGGTACACATACATACATTAAATACACACACAAAACAGTAAACTCTCAAAAATAAAAAAAAATTTTAAAAGTAAACATTATGCTGTCCCATTCTTAATTCTGCAGTATCTATTTGCACATTAACTTGATAGATGCTTCCCTAGTAATTCAATAGTTCATTATTCTGTCATTATCAAGGACATCACAGAGTTTGAATATCACCTAAAATAAAGACACAGTAAGCACTTTAGCACAAAGTTAGTATTCAATGGCCATCTAAAGAGCCTATCAAAAAAAAAAAAAAAAACCCAAAAGTTCATTTTGACATTTTAAATGGCAGCTACAGTATTAATTTGTCCACTTGGAAAAAAAAAAACAATTTCCCTTCCACAGTTATAATTGAACCCCTATCTATAAGCTCACCCCAGCTTTTCCCACATACCTGGTCTGCTAATTTTGTCAATTTTATCCATGCTAGGGGAGGTGATCCGGAGTCGAGGGCTGCTCTGATTGGAGTTGTCTGATGCCACATCATTGAATGAATCGTCGAGAGACATTAAGAGTTCTTTCACACACTTATGACAGACACTGTGCTGACAGGGGAGAATCAACGGGTGTGTAAACAGCTCCTTGCATGCTGGGCAAATAAGCTCCTTTTCGATATTCTTAATAGTCACCTTAAGATGAAAACCAAAAGCCAGAGTCAAAAACTCTAAGTGGATAAATGTGTCATCATGATCATTCATCTTGTGTGAGTACCTGTGCTTGCTCCAAAGAATTAAGAAACAGACCTTAAAATCTGAACTTCCCTATGGCTTCTGTCTTAGGGTTTCTACTGCTGTGGGAAGAGATGCCATGACCACAGTAACTCTTATAAAGGAAAGGAAAACATTTAATTGGGCTGGCTTACACTCTCAGAGGTTTAGTCCGTTATCTTTATGGCAGTGTGCAGACAGATGTGGTGCTAGAGAAGGAGCTAAGAGTTCTACATCCTGATCAGCAGGCAACAGGAAAGTGAACTGTCACAATGGGCGTGGCCTGAGCATATATGAGACCTCAAAGTCCACTTCCACAGTGACATACTTCCTCCAACAAGGCCACATCTAATAGTGTGCCACTCCTTATGGGCCAAGCGTTCAAACACATGATCATGGGGGTCATATCTATCCAAATCACCACAACTATGAAATTCTATACCACCAGACTCCCTTTAATATACATGGCATGGAATTAAAAACTAATGGTACAAGACAAAAGAATGTAAAATGTAAGAGAAAAGTTAATATAAAAATATTAGAGAACCACATCCTATCAAAAACCACAGGCTGCTCTAATCATCAGGAACAAGTCCCTGATTTAGGACTCCAGTTAAATTCTGAAAGTGATAATTTTCAATTAAAAAAAGGTTTCATTATGACACTGACCATACTTATTTAATGCATTAACTCCAAGATTGCCAAATAGCAAGAGCTGACAAAAAATAAACACCCGGGCTAAGCCAGTGTGTTCAGGAAATCCTAACTAAATTCTATTTACAAGCTGGGTAGCAAAAAATTTCTACATTAAATTTAACTATTTTCTGGTGCTTTAACTGGAATGCTGCTAAAATACTTCAGGCTCTATGTTGCATATCAAAGTAGTTATCATAAAAGTACCTGTTTAAATATTATTAAATTAATAGTAAAAGGGTGGAGAGGACTAAAAGACACCATCCCAAGAGCTTCCTTCAAACCTACAGAAATTCATTATTTCACCATTTTAAGTGAGAAACACTTTGGACTCACAGATAAAAGGTTGTTGACTTCATACGGTTTTCCTATCTATCACCTCTACAGCCTGTTTTTTGTTTTTTTGGTTTTTTTTACCTGAGGGGGGCGGACTTTTCAATTTCTATAGATTACTGCTGGCATCCTGAGATTTTAATGACAAACCAACATTTAAAAAAAAACTTAATCTTATACAATCATTTCATCTATTAAAAAAACTTAATCTTATACAATCATTTCATCTATTAGAAATATACAGAAAGTTTTTGTTTAGTTGGTTGGTTTTGGTTTTTCATGACAGTTTCCCCATGTAGCCCTAACTGTCCTCAAACTCAGAGACCCACCTAGCTTTGCCTGCACAGTGCTGGGTTAAAAAGTGCTCCGTGAGAACAATTTAATTCACTTGTTTAAATGAAATAAAAGTGTATGCTAATCTATTTAATCACTGCTGACACAAAGGGCTTTAATAAACCCTGACAATGGCACCGCCCACACCTGACTTTATCACTGCCAGCAGATCTTTAATGCAGTGTTGTCTCTTGAGGCATCACAACTGTCTAAAAAGGCCCACAGCATGCTGTGATCTTAACGAACCTGAAAATAAGACGGCTACACCCACAATGTGCACCAAAGGTTACTGGATATTCACCCAGTATGACACTAATTCAAAGGAAAAGATTGTCCTGACTGCTCAAAATAGATTCTTGTCCCGTTTTACGTATAAACAATACCATCAGTAAAGCTGCACCTCCCACAGAAGTATCTAAAAATCATTTCCTTTTTTTTTCTTGCGCCTAAATCATTTGATTACACTGGATATAAAGTAATTCTTAAAAGAAAAATCCGTGTCTTTTTTCTTTTTAACGTCCTTTGAGCTAAAACCCGGAGCAATGTGACATGAGAGCTCACTCAAGCAGAGGAAACTCCAGGAGA